GTTACAACCATTTTCCATTTCCAGTGCACACTTAACAATTCAAATGATAATGGAAGGCAACAAAGGCCATACTTGGCACAGTAAATCACAGGTTCAGCCTTGTAATCAAGAGGCACCCATGTCCCTAAACTTCTCTGAAAGTGGTGACCTGTTTGTTACGTTTAGGGTGCAGCTGTTATAAGTTAGTCAGAACTCCACAGCAGCCACTGCTGTTTGGGCTCATGACTGCATTTTTGGAAACCCTGTTCTATCATATCAGTTTATTTTGAATCAAGTTACGGCTATGCATTAAGCTAAGTAAAATCACAGAAAACAGGAGCAGGAGTAGATCATTTAGCCCAAGGGCCTGCTCCTTACTTCAATCTGATCCTGTCTCATCAACCAACTCTGTACCCTATTCTTGCTTTCTCCTCATACCCTTCAATCCCTTTTCCTTAAGGACTATATCTAACTCGTCCCTGAAAACATTCAATACTTTGCTCTCAAGCACTTTCTATGGCAAAGAATTTGACAAACTCACCACTCTCTTGGTGAAGAAATTGTTTTTCACGTCAGTCCCAAAGTCTTGTTGTAATATGGGAGGCTCTCCTTGTTCGAAGAGAGGTGGTTTTGCTGTACCACACCAGTAGGTCCCTTTACTAAAAGAGGATGATGGCAGCAAACTACCCCCCATGATGACCAAAAGGACAGACAACCTTGTACCTTATATCACTGTAAAGCACATTAACGCATCAAAGACCAACGGCGTTCAAATTGTAAAAAAACTGAAAGAACTGCGGATGCTGAAAATCAGAAATTGCTGGAAAATCTCAGCATGTCTGAGAGCACTTGTAGAGAAATCAGAGTTAACACTTCAGATCCAGTGACCCTTCTTCAGAACTGTGTTCAAATTGTGTTGCAATTGAAAGGAAAATAAAGAAAGGTGCAATTTTAATTACTATGTTGCATATTTTCATCCACACAACTGTTGTAGGACATACATTATTCGGCATCTTCAGAAGAACAGGTAGATCATCTGCCAGTTAGCTAAGAATAAAAGACCACAGAGGGAAAGCAGGAAGAACAATGGATTCAGCCTAATGCCAGCCAAGTCATCAAATCACACAGATTGTAAACTTATTTTAACCTCTATGAATTGTAATTTAACCAAGTTTCCACACTGTGCGTGTCAGTGTGTGCAAGTGAGAGAAAGAGAGAATTTCAAGTGCGTTTGTGTGTGAAATCCCATGCTCAGTGTATTATTTTACTCAGATCTGTTCAAGTGTAATCAAGCGAACCTCTTTCTTTATTGAACTCAAGAAACTGTGACTGTTAGTAAATATATCCTTTCCAAATAAACAAAACGTGTTGTGGTCAAACAAAGGAAGGACAAAGAGTAGAGCTATTCAACCCTTGATCATATGGGATGGTGATGGTGAAGACGAGAACATTGGCTGAGAGATAGGATTCTGTAAATATGACTGGGTCAGGCTGTTGTCTGATTCATTTGAGGCACGCCTCTCCCAATTTTAGCACTAGCCCCCCAAGAGGCCTTTGCAAATTTGCTGAAGCTGGTTGTATCTTTGTCATAAGCAGTGCTCTGCTCAATGCTCTGCCTGGGTTTCATTCTTATTTGTCTTTCTTAAATGTTTGATACAACTGAAGAACTGGCTAGCCATTTTGGGGGGCAATTAAAAGTCAATTACATTGAGTCTCAGCCCCTGCAATTAACCAACAGTTACGAGGTTCTTGACAGCTGTGTGGACAGGAATAGGGACTACAGGGAGGATGAGCAAACTGACCATAGCACTTTGGTACAGGGAGCCATTCAAGTGGGCAAGTGGGGGTGGATATAGGCATGTAGTAGTGGTAGGGGACAAAATAACTGGGAAATAGATACTGATCTCTGCAGTTGTGATAGGGAGGTCCAAAGACGGTGTTGCCTACCCTATGCCAAGATTAAGGACTATCTCACTGGGGCTGGAGAAGAACTTGGAGAAGGAGGGGGACCTAGGAGTCATCATCCACATTAGTAGCAATGACATTGGCAGAATTATAAAAAAGGTTCTGCTGAACACTTTTGAACAGTTGGGAGCTACATTAAAAAGCAGAACCTCCAACGTAATCATATCTGGATTATGACCCGAGTCATAGGAAAATGACATAGGGTAAATAAAGTCAAGGAATTAAAAGCATGACTCAAAGATTGCTGTGGGTGTAATGGCATTGTTGGTACAGGATGGAATAAATACGATAGCAAGAAGTGATCTTAGACTGGAAAATGTAGAATCTATATGGGTGAAGGCAAGAAACAACAACAAAGTAGGAGACACTGGTGGGAATAATCTATAGGCCCCCAAACAGTAGCTGTACAGCAGGGCAAAGGATACATCAGGAGATAAGAAGAGCATGTAAAGAGGGCAGTACATTAATGATGGGGGACTTTAATCTTCACGTAGGTTGAGATAATCAGATCACAAAGGAAGAATTCATAGACTGTATTTGGGACACTTTCCTAAAAAAAATATGTTGTGGATCCAACCAGGGATCTGGCCATTTTGGATCTGGTGAAGTGTAATGAGGTAAGTTTAATAAATGACATCAGAGTAAAAGAACCCTAGGAAATAGTGACCACAACATGGTAGAATTTAGCATTCAGTTTGACAGAGGGAAATTGGTTCAGAATAAAACTATGCTGAACTTAAATAAGGGTAATTGCAAAGAACTGGCTGGATTGAACTGGGACTGGAGTTTAGTAGCAAAGGCAAATGAGAAATAATGATAGTTGTTTACGAAAATATTTTATGACTCACAGCAAAGATGTATTAGAGTGAGGAGGAAGGATTTTAGGAAGGGATTAGCCAACCATGGTTAACCAGGGAAGATAAGGATAGCATCAATTTCAAAGAATACCACATTGTATGTTAAAGATTAGTGGTAAGCCAGAGGATCATGAAAATTTCAAAAAGCAACAAAATATGACCAAAATGGGTAAATTTGCAAGTATTGTCAAGATGGACAGCAAGAGCTTCTTTAAATATATGAAAAGAGATGCCGAAGTGAACATAGGCCCCTTTGAGAACAAGATGGAGAAATAATAAATGAGGAACCAGAAAATGACAGGGGAGTTGAATAAATACTTTGCATCAGTCTACACAGTAGAAGACACTAATAGTATTCCAAACTTACTAAATAATAAAGGAGCAAAGGAGGAAAAGGAAATACATACAGTAAGTATCACTAGAGAAATAAAAAGTGCTGGGGAAACTAATGGGGCTAAAGAATGGTAAGTCCCCTGGGCCTGATGGGATGCATCCTGGGATATTTAAGGATGCACCTGTAGGAATAGTAGATGCACTGATAAAAATCTTCCAAGAATCCTTAGATTCAGATAAAGTCTGAAAGGATTGGAAAACTGCCAATGTAACATTTCCATTTAAAAAGGGAAAACAACAAAATTCAGGTCAGTTAGCTTAACATCTGTGATTTGGAAAATGTTAGATTCTATTATAGAAGATATCACAGATCATTTGGAAATCCATTACAATCATGCAGAATCAGCATGACTGCAGCAAAGGGAAAATCATGCCTGGCAAATTTACTAGAACTCTTTGAAAAGGTGATAATCAGGATAGATAAAGTGGAAGCAGTGGTTGTAATATATTTTAAATTTTCAGATAGTAAGATACCACATGTTAGGCTACTTAACAAAGCCCATAGTGTTGGAGGTACTATAGATAAAGTTTGGCTAAAGAACAGAAGATAGAGTTGGGCTAAGGGGTGGAGGGGGAGCATTTTCAGGAAGACAACCTGTAACTAGGAGAGGTGCCACAGTGCTAGGGCGACAATTATTTACAATATATATTAATGTCTTGGATGAAGAAAGTGAGTGAACAATACTCAAGTTCATGGATGACAAAAATGGGTGGGGTGTCATAGTTTGTAGAAGGGTACAGACAGGTAAGCAGGTTGACAGATCGAATATAATGTGGGAAAATGTGAGCGTGTGCACTTTGGCACAAAGTGTAGAGAAGCAGAATATTATTTAAATGGAGAAAGAGTGCAGAAAGCTACAGAGGGATTTGGAAGTCCTTATCCATGAATCACAAAAAGCAAGCATCCAAAGAGAGAAAGTATATGGAATGTTGAGTTTTGTTTCAAAAGGAATGGAGTATAAAAGTAGGGAGGTTTTGCTAAAACAATACAAGGCACTGGTCAGACCACAGCTGAAATAGTTTGAACAGTTTTGGGCCCCTATCGAAAAAAAGTTATTATTGGCATCGAAGACAGTCCAGAAAAAGTTCATTAGGCTGATACCAGCTATGGAGGGATTGTCTTATGAGGAAATGATGAGTAGGTTGGATCTATACTGGAATGTAATAAGTGAGACATGACCTTGCTGAAACATACAAGTTTCCTACGGGACTTGTCAGGGTAGAAACGGAGAATGGGATTCCCCTTGTGGGAGAGCCTAGGACCAGATGGCATAATCTCAGAATAAGGCGTAACAGATTTAAGACAGAAATGAGGTGGAATTTTTTTTCTCACAGAGTACTGATTCTGTGGAATTCTCAGAGGTCTATTGAGGCTAGGTTGTTGAGTATATTCAACGCCAAGAGAAACAGATTTTTAAATCACTAAAGGAATCAAGCATTATAGGGAAAAGGCAGGAAAGTGAATTGGATTAGACATGATCTCATTGAATGGCAATAGACTTGATGGGCTGAATGGTCTACTTGTGCTCCTATATCTTATGGTCGATGGGTCTGCAGTCACACACGAGCCAGACTTCGTACGGACAGCACAGTTCTTTCCCTAAAGGACATGAGTGAATGAGTGGGTTTTTAAAATATTGTGGTAGTTTCATAGTCATCATTACCTAGTCTGGCTTATTATTTTATTTTGCTATTAATTTGACCAATAAAACATGTTTTAACTGCATTAATCCCTCAAAAATTTAAAGCTAAATTATTACCTATCCATACTTAAATTTACTGAACATAATTTAACATGTTTATAACATAAAATAGGCTGAGATTAGTTGAATGAAAGTTCCAAACAGTGCAGTAAAAGATCACTTTTCTAAAGTCGCAATAGCACTGTCGTATATCAATCAATGCGCATGTTAATGAACACTAGGATAAACACAGAGCTTAATGTACTGCTCCCAAATGCAAAGCAAAATTAGAATACAAATTGGCTACACTAATGTGTTCTCCTCATTTTATTTGTCCAACCGCAGCCTACATCTTGACTTTGAATTAATGATTCTGTTTTTCCTAGTATATTAGAAATTGCAATTATATTAACTGCACTAAAACTTCTAAAAACTATGATTGTTCCCTTGAGTTCCTATCAACATAATTCTTCTATTAAATTCCTGTACGTGTTCAAATTCACCTTAATACTTTAAGCAATAATGTTAGGGCATTGCCTGGTTTGATGTGTCAATAAGTAGCTTTTGTTGTTTGCAAATTTCCCTAACAGTTGATTCAGTGTTTCCTTCTAGTTTTAGATTCAAAACAAGTAAGATGAATAATTTTTGGACAGAAATTAAATACACTAGATTTTTAAAATCATTGAACAGAGACAAATGCTCCATGAGTTGCTAAATTTGGCTACTCACCTGAGCATATAACATAACACTTCAATTGCTCTTTGAAAGACAACAGTGCTAGAGAGATAGTGGATACTTAGAACATTGACTACTGAATCATGTATTTTGTGCTATTTTCCACTTTAGCCACTTTTATCTCAACATTTTGCGGAGTTGCAGTCTTAGTTACAGTCAGCAATTATGAATAGTTTAAGACAAGTTTCTTTATTTCTTCAAAATAAAAACAATTCAATATTTTTATTGAAGATTTTGGATTTTAAGCTGCTTTGTGATATTGATGCCCATATGTATTTTTAAAATCTTTACGATCATTCAAATTATCTGTACAGTATAGTTCCTCAGGTAATCTATTGCAAAAATAGTTCTACAATTTGCATCTATTGATAGAAGTTACATAGTACTACAAAATTAATCTCAAAAATTTTACATTTTTTTTATATTATATGCTTTAGATTAAATTGAAGAAAGTCTTCCACTTTAAGCTATGAATTTGTTGACTAATGCAACTACAGGAGTTTACAATTATGCATGTCATATATGGTACAAAACAGGCAATATTCTTCGAAGAGCTGTCTGTACACACTGCAGTTAATTCCATTTTCATCTACTTGTATATGACCACATGACTTCCTCCAGTCATAACAGTTACTTTCTTCCCCTGAAATAGGGCAGAGATACAGTGTTAACATGATAAAGTTGTCCATTCAGGAAATCACAAGGCAATAGCAACCCATTCCCCACCTCCTTCATCATACATCTTTTACCAATCAACAGAATGAGTTATTACCTTCTCTCTACTCTCAGCTAGTCATTAACTGGTAGACGAGAGTAGCCCAAGGTGGCCAATTTGTTTTCCATTGCTACAGAGTTGTGCTTAATTTCAAGCCTGCTGTACACCTGCACCTCCAATCACCTATACCTCACCCATTCCCCCCCTCAAAAAAAATCCCCATGCCACCTGCAGTGCGAGAGATTATAACCACAGACAAATTCATATTCTACCGTTTGCAGTGCTAAATGTTAGTAATGTGCAAGAGAATCAACGTTCAATCTCATGCAGGAATGCTGCTTATTGAGCATTCAGCCTATGTGCACACACTTGTGTGGATGTTCAGTTAATATTAACATTTAGGTCCAATTAAACATCTGGGAGGTCTGCAGGAAATGACTGCTCATACAGTAAAACAGAGTGACATCGTTCCTGCCACAACAGTAACACACTGTCAGCGCAGGAGGCAGTCTGAAAGCAATCCTGGTTAAAGAGGGGTAAGAAAGCCTATGGAAGAGGATGCCCAAGGTTCATGAGTGATCTCAAAGGAATACTCCTTCTCTGAAGTAGAGCTTGAAACCACAATCATGTGGCTGACACATGAATCGTTATCACTGCGTCAAACAGTCATCCCAGATTTGGACTTTCAAATGGGGTTGGGAAATCCAACACAGTCTTAAAATGTTGTTAATGCCCTCATTGGATTGGAGGTGAGCTTGGAGCTCAATTAGTAACTTCTAGTTTTGCCAGAAGGTGGAAACTACCTGTTGGAACAGCAGTATCAAAAGGTCGATGGCGGTATGAAGGGGCTTGCCACTACCTTCCACAAAAGAGGCAGCTGGATTTCTACAGAATGGAAGCATCAGTGTCCAGAAAACTGAGCTAAACCACTAGTTGGCAAAAACCAACTCTGCAGCTCCAAGCATTAAACCCAATAGCTATTCTTTAGTGTGCACCAACTGTTCAGGTTTGGCTAATAAAATTCACCTTCTGGCTCTCCCCTGCCCAATTACAAGCTGCTCAAGGAGCTTAATGGAACTGTTACCTCTCTGCTTTGAAAACTGCAACTCTGGAGGCAACAAGTTCCAGTGATGCCCTTCAGAAATGAAATTTTCAATGTGCACCCACACCCTAATACATCTGAAGTATCTCAAGGACTTTTACTTAACTCCTCACCTTCCTATTCACATGGTGCCTCTTGGCGATATCACCTGCACACAAGGTTAGCTTTTACATGCATACTTAAATCCTGAAATCACAATATTGATTGCAGCTGTTTAAGGTTCAGATTGTTTCTAACTAAATGTCCTGTGCATACCATGCTTTTGAATCCAACTTCGCTTTACCGCCAATAATTCTGACTTGATAAGATTACCCATCTCTGTTCCTATATCAGCCCATCTATTGTTACTTCTAACTTGCCCGTACAAATACGAGGTAAATTAGAGGATGGCCAGGTGCTGTGAACATCAGCTCATCCAAAATTAAGGGGTGGATTTTTGCAGAGCTTAAAAATGACATATAGTACCTGGTTATGGAAACCTACCCCATTTACAACAGAGATAGTAGGAACTGGAGAATCCGAGACAACGAGATGCAGAGCTGGATGAACACAGCAGGCCTTTCTGCTCCTATGATGCTGCTTAGCCTGCTGTGTTCATCCAGCTCTGCACCTTGTGTCTCCCATTTACAACAGAATCAATTTTTGTCGGGTTATGGAAACCTACCCCATCTACAACTGATTCAATTTTTGTCAGTGAGAGGAGATTAGGCATGATTTGTACAAGTGAGAAAGCTAAACTTAGCAAAGCCTTTGAGCTCAGTGCTGTATTCAAACAGACCTCATTTTGGCTGTGGCAGCAGCCTTAATCAGTAATGTGGCACTCACACATTAAATGGAGAAGATGCAAATACTCCTGAAGGTGGTGGTTAGAGTAGATAAGGTCTGTATAACTGTCACAATCTGAAGTTTTGTTTAAAATGTTTTGCACTTTAAACAAAACAGGCTGCAACAGTCAGTAAGAGGGAAAAAAACCTTTGCTGGTCTTTTGATTGACAGGCATGAACTTGGAAAGAAAGGAACATCAAGTCATGCGGTTACAATAAAGTTTTTTGTTGACATTTCCCTGAAAGCTGCAATAATAATGTCATTATCAAAGGATTAGCAGTCTTTAATGTGGGGTCTGAACAGAAGAGCTGAGATTAGGTTTAAAATGATTAACCATTTGAGACTGAAATATTTTGAATGGGTTCTGTGCATTTATGGTTTCTTTCTACTATTAAATTTGTATGAGTTACAATTATTATTAGGTTGTATTTTTCTTTCAACATGTCTCCTGGTGTCTTCCATGCTGGATACTGGATTAGTATCTATGGAAGATCCTCCCCCATCTGTGCAATCTCCTGTAGCTTCCATTTCTCCTCTGACTTTGGCCTCTTCTACACATTTCCTTTGTCTATGCAATTATTGTTAATTGTGCTTTAAACAGTTAAAACCCATGCACTGGAATACCCTCCTATAAACATGGGTGTCATCATTATCTCTTCCTTCATCAAGGCCCTCTTTAAAGTCATCTCTTTGATCCAATAATTTTATATACCTCAATATCTGCTTCTTTGACTCAATTTCTATTGTCTCTGTAAAGAAACTTAAGACTTTAAGTTGTTGGCATTGTTCTGCCAGAGGAAGTGATGAATGCTGTTATAATTACATAGAACATAGAACTGTACAGCACAGTGCAGGCCCTTTGGCCCACAATGTTGTGTTGAACTTTTACCCTAATCCTAAGGTCTATCTAACCTCCACCCCGACCTTATACTATCACCCATATGCCTATCTAATAGCCACTTAAATGCCCCTAATGAGGCCGACTCCACTACCCTCTCCGGCAATGCATTCCACGCCCCTACCACTCTCTGAGTAAAGAACCTACCTCTGACGTCTCCCCTATATCTACCTCCCCTCACTTTAAAACTATGCCCCCTCGTAATAGCTACCTCCACCCTAGGAAAAAGTCTCTGGCTGTCTACTCTATCTACACCTCTGATCATTTTGTACATCTCTATCAAGTCACCTCTCATCCTTCGTCGTTCTAAAGAGAAAAGCCCTAGCTCTCTCGACCTTTCCTCGTAAGACTTTCCCTCCATTCCAGGCAACATCCTGGTAAATCTCTTCTGCACCTTTTCCAACGCTTCCACATCTTTCCTGTAACGAGGCGACCAGAACTGGACACAATACTCCAGATGTGGCCGAACCAGGGTTTTGTACAGCTGGACCATAACTTCACGGCTCTTGAACTCAATCCCTCTATTAATGAAAGCTAACACACCATACGCCTTCTTCACAACTATATCCACCTGGGTGGCAGCTTTCAGGGAATTGTGGACATGAACCCCAAGATCCCTCTGCTCCTCCACACTGCCAAGAATCTTTCTGTTAACCCTGTATTCTGTTTTCAAGTTTGTCCTTCCAAAATGAATTACCTCACACTTTTCAGGGTTAAACTCCATCTGCCACTTCTCAGCCCAGCTCTGCATCCTATCAATATCTCTTTGTAACCTAGAACAGCCCTCCGCATTGTCCACAATGTGACCCACCTTCGTATCGTCCATGAACTTACTAATCCACCCTTCCACTCCTTCATCCAAATCATTTACAAAAATCACAAATAGAAGAGGACTGAGAACAGATCCTTGCAGTACACCACTCGTAACTGAGCACCATGTTGAATAATTTCCGTCCACTACCACCCTTTGTCTTCTAAGCATCAGCCAATTCTGAATCCAATCTGCCACATTTCCCCCTATCCCATGCCTCCGTACCTTCTGCATGAGCCTACCATGGGGAACCTTATCAAACGCCTTACTTAAATTACGACATTTAAAAGGCAACTTGGATGAGTATATGAATAGGAAGGGTTTAAGAGGGATATGGGCCAAATGCTGGCAAATGGGACTAGATTAATTTAGCATATCTGGTCAGCATGGACGAGTTGGACCGAAGGATCTGTTTCCATGCTGTAGAGCTCTATGACTGGAAATATGACTGGATCTTCAACAACAACAACAAAGCAATAATCAACAAGGTTAAAAAATACTTCCTTTTAAAATGCCAATAAATTTGAACTTAAATTGTATTTCTGAAACATAAGGTTGAAATTGAGAAATGTCTGACAAGTAAATAATAAATGCAATACAACTTTTTGTACCTTATTTCTTGGTTGAGAGTCAATTGCACGTTCTACATTAGACAAGACAATATTTGTTAAACCTTTGGAGAGATTTTTTGCAGATTGGTGGAGGGTCATTGCTGTTGGATAACCATTGGTTATATGATTTCCTGTTGCAACATTGCCAGACTGAATCAGAACCACTGGCGGTGCAGAATGTTGCTGGTTAACAACAAATGCTGGTGCAATTTGCTGCTGGTTGACAACGTATGTTGATGCAGGATTTTGTGTGTTGAAAACATAAACTGAATTAGGACGCTGCTGGATGACAGAGTAGGGTGAAATCGGAGGAGGCCTTGCAGCACCAGTATTCTGTGCGGCAAAAGCCACTGATGATGCAGCAACTGACTTCTGGTAGCTGGCATTTTGTGGATGAGCATTTGAGGGTTGTGGTGCTGCTGGGTATGTTGGATATGATGGATATGGCGGAAATGCAGGGTAGTTGGGTTGATATCCAGGAGAAGCATATGTTTCATTTCTCTGAAGTACAGAGGGATTGGGTGATGAAATCTAGAAGAAATCAAAAAATGTAATAAACAATCTTCTATAATTGGAAACTACTTGCTTTGTAATGTAAAATTAATTTGCTGTTTGTTGTGCATGGAAATAATTAACATTATTGACAGAGTTAGAGTCATACAAACACAAAACAAGACCTTTGGCCCATTGAGTCTGCGCCTACGTATCTACATCAATCTCACTTTCCAATACTTGCCTCATAGCCTTGAATGTAATAACATTTCAAGTGGTCATCCACGTACTTTGTAAAGATTGAGATGTTTCCAACCTGTACTACTCTCCCAGGCAGTGAAATCTAGAACGCTACAAACGTAAGGTGAAAATTGTTTTTCTCAAATCCCCTTCAAACTCCTGCCCTTCACCTTAAAAATGATGACGCCTTGTTACTGACCCTTCTAAGGGGAATAACTACTGCCTAATCACCCTGTCCATGCCTCTCAATCTTATACAACTCAAATCAGTTCCTGTTTCAGGCTTGTCTGCTCTAAAGAAAACAACAAGTTTGTCTATCCTCTCTTCACAGCTGAGGTGTACCAACCCAGAAAACATCCTGTGAATCTCATCTGCACCCCCTCCAGTGCAATCACATCCTTCCTACAGTGTGTGGCAAACAGAACCGCACACAGGACTCCAATGGTGGCCTAACCAAAGTTTTGTACAGCTCCAACATAACCTCCCTAACCTTATAAGCTGTGGCACAACTGATGAAGGCAAGTGTCCCACATGCCTTCTTAATCATTAAATCCTATTAAGCTATCCTGCCACCTTCAGGTCTATGGACAAGCATGCCAATACCGCTCTGCTTCTGAGCTTCCTAGTGTCTTGTCATTCATTGACTCCCTTTCCTCGTTACTTCTTCAAAGTGCATCACCTCACACTTGTCAGGGTTAAATTTCATCAGCCACTGATCTACCCATCTGACCAATCTATCTATATCCTCCTGGAATCTGAGACCTTCTTCGTCACTGTCAACCACCTAGCCAATCTTCACATCATTTGCAAATTTACCTTTCACCAACCATTCCCACACACAACTTTCTCATCTATATTCTCAACTAGTTTGGTACCAAGATAAGCTTTAATGGTCTCAGAGACAGTAAGAACTGCCGATGCTGGAGGCAGAGATAACACAATGTGGAGCTGGAGGAACACAGCAGGCCAGGCAGCATCAGAGGAGCAGGAAAGCTGACGTTTCAGGTTGGGACCCTTCT